CATTCGCTCACTCATTGGCCTTTGCCAGCTGCCTCTCTTCCAGAACCTTCTGTTTTCTAACCAGGGTCTCTCCTGTTGCAACTCAGTCACCCCCCCTCCGCATTTGCTCTCCTTTGGGGACAGAACCCTCCTCCCAGGCCCTATTATCCTAACTCCTCAAAGAGTTGGAGGCTGTTCACAAAATCCCTTCCACACACATACACACACATTCTATTTTTAAATAAGTTTTTTTTTTCTCATTCTAAAAGTGAGGCTACACCTGATCATTGCAGAAAAATTGGAAATAGACAAGTATAAAGGAGAAAATGAAAATTACCCATAATCCTCCAAAGTAGAGATAACCATTGTAAGTGTTTTTTTTTTCTTTTAATGCATGTGGAATTTTTTTTTCTGTTATAATATTGAGATTATGCTTCAAATGTGGCCTTGGATTGCCCCATGCCTGGCCCTTAACACTGGGCCAGATTCCTCCCTCTGGGACCCCCAGGGCCTTCCATTCCCTTTCAGGCACCTGCCCCTCTTGATTCCCCCAAGAGAAGGGAGACCTTTTTTTGTGGATGTCTCCACCTTGTCTCCTGGGCACCTGAGAGACTCAGAGTTCAATTCTGACCATCTCTGTGTGTGTGTGTGTGTGTGTGTGTGTGTGTGTGTGTGTGTAGGAGAGACAGAGACAGAGAGAGACAGGGGAGGGCAGAGAGGACGTTGGGCACTGAGCAGGCCCACCATGATGAAGACCGTGAAGGCATAATGGAAGTCGGCTCATGACGGGTCCCTCATAAGCTGTCCTTAGTGCCTTTCCATGGAGCAGCTGGAGCTCCTTGCTCAGCTAATCAATTCTCATCATTTGAGAAGGGAAAAGAAATGTGCAATTTGCTGCCCACCCTGTGGAAAAGCCCGAGGAGGTGGTTGTCCACTGAGGTGCTGCTGTCAGACCCCACCTGCCAGCTGAGGCCTCCCTGGGTTTGCTGAGGGTCTCTCAGACCCCACCCACCCTCGCTGGCCTGCAGACCAGGGCTTCTCTGCAGCTCGGCGGGAGTCACCACTAGAGGGACCTGAGGCTTTACCATCCCAATGCCAGATGGGGGAGACAGGGCCCCAGGAGCGGATGGACAGGCCCAGGGCCACACAGAAAGTTGATGGCTGAGCCAGGCCTGCAGCCGTGGTGGTCAACCACCAATCTGGTGTCATTTCCCACGTGGCAGCTTTTCTTTCCAGAGGTAGAGAAGACAAGCGTGGGGGTGGGAGGCATGAGAGACAAAGAACTCATCGAGTCCACTTCTTGTTTGTCCGTTTCACCCTCTTCAAGATCCTCCCCACCCCAGGCAGAAGAAACCATACTCTCGGCTGCATGTTTATATTGTTTGGTGATCATCCTCTGTCCAGGGGGAAGTTCTAATACCTAACCCGGATTCTCCAGAGATTCCTTTACCTTTCCTCATTCGACAATTATCCAAAACCCAGAACCCCAGCAGGGAACATGACAGCCAAATCCCTGCTCTCTTGGAGTTCATGTCCACCCGGCTGTGGGGCTCTCACTGGGAGGCAGAATGGCTGTGCCCAATTTTCTGGGCACTTCAATCCAGAAAATGTTGTCTGCAGGGCACAGAGTCAAACATAGGGGACAGGACCCATTATAATCGTTCAGTTACTGTTAGTATGTAATCAATCATCCCCCAAACTTAGTGATGTATGACAACCAGTGTATTATGCTCCTGGACTCTGTGGGTCAGGACAGGGTACAAGAGACAGTGGCTTAGCTCTACTCCATGGTACTTGGGTCTCAGCCAGGAAGACACGAAGGCTTGGGTTACTCCTTGGCCGGTGGTGTCTTTACTCACATATCTGATGGTTGATGCCGGCTGTCAGCAGGAGCTCCCGCATGTGGTCTCCCTGCCTGTGCTAGTTTGGGCCTCCTCTCCGCATGGCAGCTGGGCTCCAAGGACAAAGCGTCCCAAGAGAGCCAGGGGGGGAAGCTTACCTCTCCATTTGCCAAGCCTCAGAAGTCTCAGAGCCACTTCTGCTGCAGTCACAGCCCCCACACTCCTGGATTCAAGGGGAAGGAATGCAGACATTACTTCTTGATGGGAGAAGTCTCAGTCATACCATGAGAAAAGCACATGAGACGAAAGATATTGCTGTGATCATTTTTGGCAAATGCAATGAGCCATGTGAGTCTTCCAGTTCACAGCCTTGGCGGAGGAGCAGAGTATAAAAGAACAGAAGCAGTCATTTCCCAAGCACTTACATGTACCAGGCACTGTGGTTAGCCTGCTGTGTACATCATCTGATCACCTCTGTGATGATGACTACTGGTAGCCCCATTTTATAGATGAGAAAACTGAGGGTCAGAAAGGATACACCGCCTGCTCTAAATTGTATAGCTGGGACCGACATCCAGATCTGTCTGCCTCCAAAGCCTTAGCTCTTAATGTCCTACTATATTGCCTCTCCCTCCTTGTCCCTGAGTAATTTGTACCCCCTAAGTGTGGTGAGAAGTTTAGATGGGTCGCTGGGGGCTTCAGATCTGGGAAGGCTTCTTGTCAGAGGTGACACTTGAGCAAGACCTTGAAAGATGCATTAGACTCCTGAGGAAGGGAATGGCATCGCCGGTGCAACAGCAAGATCCCCCAAATCACTCAGGAAGTGCTGCCATGACCCAGAATCCTGGCCTTGGACCCCCGCTCACATATCAACATACCGTAAACTATACATCTTGAAAGGCAGGCTGAGGCTGGGGACAGGGTGGATGGACCCCAGAAAAAGAGGCAGAAGTGGCCTTTGTCCCTCTCTCTCCACCATATTGCCATCAGCATCCTCCTTCCAAGGCTGGGAGTGGGGGCGAAGCTCCCACCTGCCCCCACCTCCACATGCAGACTTAGTTCTACCCTTGGACATGGGGTGAGTCTGAGCTGCCTCTGGTTCACACTCAAGAGTTCCTGCTAACACAAATTGGTCCTGGGAGCATATGGCGTCCCCTCGGCCAGAATGCTTTAGGACATCGCAAATGGGAAGTTTAATGATCTCATCATAGGATAGGACTCTTGCATATTACAGGAGCGGTTCCCATCCCCTCCAGGCCTCTCTCCCTTTCAAGTTTTCTGCTTTGCCCTCCTCTTCTCCCACCCTCCTCTCTGTTTCCCTTTTTGCATCTCTGTCTGCCCACCCCCCACTCAATTCCCCTCTCCCCTCTGTCTCCTTTTCCCAGCTGTCTCTGTCTCTCATCTCTCCCGTTTCCTGCCTCTCTGTCTCTGTTTCCCTCCTTCCCCTCACCCTCTCTTCCTCACTTTCTCTGGGCTGACGGCAGCCCCCTCTCTTCCCGGACAGACCGTCTAATTGAAATGGAGCACTCTAGAGAATGTTAATAGGAAAGGCAGCATTAATTAGCCAGCTCTGGTATAATTAGCTTCCTCTTCTCGCTGCCTGGCGTCTAACTGGATAATGAGTCTCTCCCCGTCCAAACTGAGGACAGGAGGGACAAGGGGAACAGGCCATGCCCGGGGATGCCGGAAGGCCTCCTGCCTTCGGGCCACCCTGCAGGAGTCCTCAGGCTGCCCGGGCTGCCCTCTCCTGCCAGGCCCTCCTGCTGCTTGTGCCCAAGTCTTGGGGAGACAGATGCCTGGCCCCTGCTCGTGCCCAAAGGTTTGATGTTGCTGGCGCTGCATGTTAAGTGGCCTGAGCCTGACAAACAGTGGCTGCAGCTGCAGTGTCCCAAAGAGGGGGTGGGGAGCTATTGAGAGTTCTTGAGGAGAACTATGACAGCTCTGGCACAGCCCCATCCATGGGCGACCGCTAGGCACATTACAGCCCCCAGAGGGGAGCAAAGAAATCTGCTTATGTGACAGATAGTAACTAATATACTACCCAGACTGCAGCCCTCCTCACAACTGTGTGAGGCAGGAGTGGCCACCTCTTTATAGACGACGAATTGAGGTTCAGAGAGGTTTACTGCCTTGCCAACGTTCATCTTACCAGGACCCAAACTCCGATTCCAAAGACCACGTTCTTTCCTCCTACCCTGATACTTCAGAAGGTACTTTATTTATTTTTCATATGAAATGTATTGTCAAATTGGTTTCCATACAACAGCCAGTGCTCATCCCAACAGGTGCCCTCCTCAATGCCCATCACCCACTTCTTCCTCCTCCCACCCCCACCCATCAACCCCAACTCAGTTTTTAAGAGTCTCTTATGGTTTGCCTCCCTCCCTCTCTAACTTTTCCCCCTTCCCCTCCCCCATGGTCTTCTGTTAAGTTTCTCAAGATCCACTATAAGAAGTGAAAATGATGGTATTGTCTTTCTGTATGGGAGCATATTTCACTTAGCATCACAGACTCTCCAGTTCCATTATGTTACAAAAAGGCCAGATTTCATTCTTTCTCATGTAACGTAGTATTCCATTGATATAAACCATACCTTCTTTATCCATTACACAGTTGATGGACATTTAAGTTCTTCCATAATTTTGGCCACTGTTGAAAGTGCTGCTATAAACATTGTACAGTGCCCCTATGCATCAGCATCCCTTGTCTCCTTGGGTAAATTCCTAGCAGGTATTGTTGGTCATAGGAGATCTACTTTAGAGTTGCTAACTATAAGTAGAAGTGATGGCAGTGGAGTAACGCCTCCTGTTGGCCATGAGTTCTAGAATCAAAGCATGAAGAGTGGTTGAGAAACGGGTCAGGGGATGAGTCCACTACCCCCCACCCCAGTATCCCTTACACAGGGAGGAATGTCTCTTCTGTTTGCAAACGGGCTGTGATTCTCCCTTTCCTGTGGCCTCAAAAGCCAAGATCTAGTTGGGGGAGGTGATGGACCAGTAACATATTTTTCTTTGTTTCATGTACAAGCGATGAAGTTCAGTTGAGTTACATGCCCACGCGATGCAATTCCATCACAGTATTTGTGGACGGGTCTAATACCCAGGGCTGGGCGACTGCAGCCACAGGGCACCGTCTTCTCCCTCTCTCTAGCCTGCTGACCCTCTCCCTCTCCTGTAGGCTATGGACTCGGAGGATGACCCCTTGCTGCAAGACGTGTGGCTAGAGGAGGAGCAGGAAGAGGAGGAAGCAACCGGTGAGGCCTTTAGGAGGGCCCAGAAGCCAGGGCCCCGAGCTGGGAAAGGAGGGCAGTGTTGCTGGAGGCGTTGGACCTTGCCTTCCCGGCCGCCTGCCTCGGGCTTCTGGAGCACCCTGGGCTGGGCTTTCACAAATCCCTGCTGTGCAGGGCTGGTGCTCTTCCTGGGCTGCAGCATCCCCATGGCCCTGTCGGCCTTCATGTTCCTCTACTACCCGCCGCTGGACATTGACATCTCCTACAACGCCTTTGAGATCCGCAACCATGAAGCTTCCCAGCGTTTTGATGCCCTCGCGCTGGCGCTTAAGTCCCAGTTTGGGTCCTGGGGGCGCAACCGGCGCGACTTGGCTGACTTCACTTCTGAGACGCTCCAGCGCCTTATCTCGGAGCAGTTGCAGCAGCTGCATCTGGGCAACCACTCTCGACCGGTCACCAGGCCCCCACGGGCAGTCTTTGCGGCCCCAAGGCGTGGCCCAGGCATATCCCCTGACACTTCCGCAGACCAGAAACCAGCAGCCAATCGGAGTGGGCGTCTTCGGCGGGAGGCCCCAACCCTGGTGGATCTGGCAGCCAACCAGAGTGAAGGCCCAACGAACCAGGGGATGCAGAAGAATGGACGGTGCCAACCCAGCACCCCGCCCCGTACTGTGGCTGCGGCCAATCAGAGCCGAGCCCGCAGGGGTGCCTCGCGCTGGGACTACTCACGTTCTTATGTGAGCGCCAACACCCAGACGCATGCGCACTGGCGCATTGAGCTCATTTTCCTGGCCCGTGGCGACGCAGAGCGCAACATTTTCACCAGTGAGCGGCTGGTCACAATCCACGAGATTGAGCGCAAGATCATGGACCACCCGGGCTTCCGGGAGTTCTGCTGGAAACCCCATGAGGTGCTCAAGGACCTTCCACTAGGGTCCTATTCCTACTGCTCCCCCCCCAGCTCGCTCATGACCTACTTCTTCCCCACTGAGAGAGGCGGCAAGATCTACTATGATGGCATGGGCCAGGACCTGGCCGACATCCGGGGTGAGCAGAATTGTGTGTGGCTGGGGACACAGCCTGCTGGGGAGAGCCTTGTAAGGGGTGGAGCCCTTGGGTGGGTGGGGCTTGTAAGGGGCGGGGCCTCAGTGAGGCTGGGGGCGGGTCTTCATGAGATTTAGAGAAGGTACTTTAGAGACCCATGGGAAATTTGGCCATGGACTCACACCTGAAGGAGAATGGGGTGGGACTCCGCTGTGGGCAGACTCAGGCTCGAGCTGCCTGCTGGGCGTGACCTGAAGGTGATACAGCGAAGGGCTGGCAGCAGGGTAGGATGTGAGATGGAATCTGAGAGAGGCAAGGAAGGTTTAGGTGCAGACCTGGATTGTGGGAAACTGGCCAGTTAAAGAATGGGTGGGGTAGGGCTTGGGCATGAGGTTGGTTAGAGGGAAACCCAGGTGTGGTTAGAGGACCGGGCATCTAATCAGAGGAAGATAGGGGAGAGAGACAAGTTGAAGGGAGACCAAGGTGGGGTTAGTTTGTAGTAATTTAGGGATGAGACTTGAAAGGTGGGGTGGGCTAGAGAATGGTCGTGGGGTGGGGCTTGGGTGCTTGGGTGTGCCTTCTAAGGGGCACACGGGCAGGATTCTAGGCAGATGAATGGGGACTGTAATGGAAAGGTGGAACTCGAGGGCTGCAAAGACTGAGCCTTGGAATTAGGTGAGGTTCACATGCAAATAAAATGTGAATTTATTGGGGGCTGCCTGAGCAGGTCTGGGGTACTGCTGCTCTTGGGCAGTGAGTTCTTTAAACCGTTGCTCTGTTCCATTTGAGACAGCTGGAGGCGGCCTGAGGGGGAGTGCCACCTCCTTAGAAAGGAGTGAGATTAGCAAGGAGGACAGGGTGATGTTGATGGAGGGCTGTGGGGAGCTGCCCTCTGAGCTCCTTGGGCCACCACCCCTGCCCCTGCAGGCTCCCTAGAGCTGGCCATGACTCACCCCGAGTTCTACTGGTATGTGGACGAGGGCCTCTCCGCAGAAAACCTCAAGAGCTCCCTACTGCGCAGCGAGATCCTCTTTGGAGCACCCCTGCCCAACTACTACTCAGTGGACGATCGCTGGGAGGAGCAGCGGGCCAAGTTTCAGAGCTTTGTGGTCACCTACGTGGCCATGCTGGCCAAGCAGTCTACTAGGTAGGTAGGAGGTCCAGCTGCACGCAGTGTCTGTTTGTCCTTGTGTATATCAGGAAAGGGCTGTGTTAGGGTAGGAAATTGTCTTTCGAGTGCTTCTTTCTCATAAACCCCAGATCACCTACCCTGAACCTTCTCCCTAGGAAGTCTTTCTTCCTGAATCAGGGGCAGAGCCAGATACATCTTCACTGTCACTCTGACAGCTCAAAAAGCCCCTTTTCTTGATCAGTGCTGATGGTTAGTGAACATGAAAGCTTTGGAGGAGGTAGGAAATCCCAGGGCTTTTGCCTAAGAAGTCTTGGATATTGATTTTTCTCCTGAGATGGTGCCTACAGGGCTTTCTGGAAAGAGTACTGACCAGGGAGTATTGGCCTGTCTGCCTCCTCTACCCAGAGAGAGAGTTGGCAAATATGCCTCTACTTCTCTGGGCCTCAGTTTCCTTACTTGTAGAATGGGGATGATGAGTCCCGATACCTTCTGGAGGCATTAGGAGGAGGTGAGCCAAGAGATGTGAAGGTGCTCTCAGGTAGTGGGTGCTTTGGTTGTCCTCCAAACCTTGGGCTATGTGTCTAAAAATACACGTAGGCCCTTCCTCACCCAGAAAGGGCATTAAATAGTTCATCTATCAGTCCTGATGGGCAATAACTGTGATGCCTCTCAGTCCCCTGCCCTGACAGGCCAGCTCCAGGCAAATGAATCATTCTGCCTGAAATACCCTTGTTCCTTCGATTACTCATCCATTGCATTGAGCAACAACTATGATAATCAGAACCAACATTTATGTGGGACAGTGCTGGTATAAGCCCCTTATACACACCATCTCATTTAATTCTCAACACCGACCCAATGAGGCAGGTGCTATTATGATCATCTCCATCTTATGGTTGAGGAAATTGAGGCACAGCCCTATTAAGTGAGTTGTCCAAATTATAAAGCCTATAAGTGGTGGGATTGGCACTAAAAGCCAACCTTTCCAAGACCAGAGCCCTTACCCCTTTTGTTTTTATGCCAGTCGCTGCACTAGGAACCTTCTCCTGGCCCTGCTTCTTTGCTAAACAAACCCCTGCTCATCCACTAAGATCCAGCCTGGGCAGTTTTTCCCTGAAGCTGGATTGAAAGCCCACTCCACCCCCCTTCCACCATGCCCTTCCTTCTCACTAGAGGAGGAACGAAAGAGCATACATGCGCTTTGGAGTTAGATATGTCTAAGGTCACATACCAGTGACTTAGTCCACTTGGGAGTATCCATGAGCTCTTTCACCTCTCTGAGCTACAATTTCATCATGGCAGTTGTCAGTCTGTATTTTAGCTGTTTAATTCCTTGTCACTCAAAGTGCATTCCTCAGATCAGCAGCATCTGTTTCACCTGGGGGGTTGTTATAAATGCAGAATCTCCAGGCCTTTCTTGGACCTACAGGATCCTAGATGACTTGTCTGCATGTTAAAGTTTGAGGAAGGTCTAGTTTCATTATGTTTCAAGAGAGTGTGAGTTTGTTGCGGGCTGGGATTGTTCCTGGCTTCTTTCTATAGGCCTAGTCCCTAGGACAGTGCCAGGAACCCCTCAGTAGGAATTTATCTTGGGCATGAATGAGTGGGTGGGTGGGGGTGGATGAACAAATAGAGGTGTTCCAGAAAAAGGTACTTGGCTAGGGTGGGAAACTGGGAGGGGCTGCCTGCAGGAGGATCTTTAGGGTTCAAATACCAAAAACTACCACTGCGTAATATGTTCAGCTGTTAAGACAAAAACCTCTGCCTGAGTAAAAAAGCCTCTCTTCCCCTTCCCATCACCCTAGAGCTTCATAGGAGCAATGAAAAGCAGAGTCCCTATAGACTTTAGTATCTTCTTTTGGAATAATTGGATCTTTTTACTACTTTATGACTGGTTACCCAAGAGATGGCAACATGCACCTTGACTTAACTACAGAATAATACAAATGATCACTTTCACTACATCTCTGATAATATTAGAATCTTAGAACATGTTCACTGCTTTTATACCCTTTAGCCTTTTGCATTTTGTTGCATGCATTTTAATTCTATATACATTGAAGCCCCGCATGATATCACATTATTATTTTACTAAGTCAGTACTCATTTATATTTACTCACATATTTACTTTTCCTGTTGCTCTTCATTACTTTCTACAATTTCATGTTTCCCCCTAGAATCATTTTCCTTGTGTCTGTAGACCTCTTCTTAATAGTTTTTTAAGTGCATATTTGCTGAGGATAAATTCTGTGTTTTTGCCTAGAAAACATCTTTATTTTGCTTTCATTTTTGAAGTATATTTCTGCTGGTATAGAATTATAAGTTGGTAGTTATTTTCTTTTAGTACTTTAGAGCTGTCAATCCATTGTGTTCTGACTTCCATCATTCCTGTGGAAAAGTCAGCTGTAAATATTTTTGTTGTTCCTTGGAAAAATTATCTTTTTTTTCTCTGGCTGCATTTAAGATTTTTCTCCTTGGCTTCACCAGTCTTACCATGAGTTATGTAGGTGTAGTTTTACTTGAATTTGTTCTGCTTGGGGTGCACAGAACTTCTTGAATCTGTAGATTGATAACTTTCATCAGTTTGGGGAGTTTTCCTGGCTATTACTGCTTCAAATATTGCTTTTACCTCATTCTATGTTTCTTTTCCTTTTAAGATTCTGATTACACAAATGTTACATTTTTTTTCACTGAGTCCCATGTGTTTTCAGGATCTTTTCTAGGTTTTTTATTTTTTATTTCTATGTTTTGGTTTTTGTGACTTTCTATGTTTCGTTTCTTTCTGTGTTTTAGATGTTCTAGTTCACTGATCCAGTCTTTTGTTATATTTAATCTGCCACTTAATGTCTGTTGACATTTTAATGGTATGTTTTTCTGTGGAGAATTTCCATTTGATTCTTTGTTATTTATCTAAATCCCTGGTGAAATTCATCATTTTATTTATTTTGGCCATAGTATCCTCTCTGTCCTTAAACATATTATTATTATTTTTTAAATTATCATTATTTTAAAGTCCTTATCAGCTGACTTTCAACATAGGGATAAGCTGTGGATTTGTTTCTTTAGTCTGTTCTTTCACTTGGTTTTTGTTCATGTGGTCATGCCTATGAGTATGCCTGGTAATTTTTATTGAGCGATAAACATTATATATAAAAAAACAAAGAGGTCCAGGTGATATTATTTCCTGCACAGAAAGTCTATCATTCCTTCCACTAGGCAGACAGAGTTGTGACTGATCACCTTAAGTAACCAACCATTTTGTTGAGTCAAGGCTGTTTTGCAGCCCTGGAAAGTCTCAGTCTGCCCCTTGTTTGCCCTTGGTTCTCTGGGACTTTCTACTGGGAGTCTGGTGTATTCTGCAGAACTCTTTCCCCTAACAAGTTCCAAACTCTAATCTTTGTCTCTCAAAACTACAAACACACACACACACACACAAAACCAACAGAAACTCCATGCCACGTTTTTAAAGAAGCTTTCTGCTTAGGTTTCTAGCCTAATGCTTCATGCAGCTCCAGTATTTAACCAAAGTGCTGAGGGGAAACTCTGCTAGTTCATCTGACTCCTAGCCTCGATTTTCATATCTTTCTGCCTGTGTTCAGAATCAGCAGATGCCTCCAGGGTGAAAATAGCTGTAGAAGAACAGCTTACCTTTCCTAGGTTCTTCCCTTTATGGAATCTTTCTGGAGTCCCTCTACTTCCCATTACTTCAGGAACCTTCTACTGTCATCAAACAGATGATTTCTGAATTTTATCTTTTTAGTAGTTCTTGGCAGGAATACTTGTCTTCCATGAACTATTCCTTTATACCTGAGAGTGAAAATTGGGGCCTGTGTCTTTTTATAGCCAGCAACTAAAATAGGACCTGGAACTTAGAAGGTACTCTATAAATGCTGTACAAATGAATGAGTGAATGAATAACAATTGCTTGGGGCTCCTGAGTAGTTCAGTCGGTTAAGAGTCCAACTTGGAGTCAGGTCATGATCTCATGGTTCATGAGTTCAAGCCCTGCATCAGGCACTCTGCTGTCAGCACAGATCTGCTGCAGATCCTCTGTCTCCCTATCTGCCCCTCCTCCAGTTGTGCACTCTCCCCCTCTCTCTCTCCCTCTCAAAAACAAATAAACATTTAAAAAATTGCTTGAATTTTCAGTTGTCTACTCTAATGAAAGACCAATTGATCTATATAACTTAAAAAGTAGATAATTCAGAGATCTTTTCTATTTTACTTTTAAGTGTTCTGTTTGTTTTTAAAAACAGCTTTATTGAGATGTAATTGACATACAACCAACTGCACATACTTAAAGTTTACAGTTTGATTAGTTTTGACACATGTATATACCATGAAACCTTCACCACAATCAAGATAGTGAACATATCCATCACCCCCAAAGGTTTCCTCATGTCCCCTGGCTAATGAGTCCATCCTGCCTCTTCTTGCCTCTCCACCCCTACCCCAGGCACCACTTTCTGTTTTCTATTACTACATACTGGTTTTCATTTTCTAGAATTTTATATCCATGGCATCATATAGTATACACTCTTTTGGTTGACCCCTTTCAGCCTAATTACGTTAAGTTCTATCCATGTTATTGCAGGCATTGATAGTTTATTATTTTTAGATGCTGAGCAGTAACCCAGTGTATGGAGATACCACATTTTTTAAATTTTTTTAAACATTTATTTATTTTTGAGATAGAGTGAGAGACAGAGCACAAGAAAGGGAGGGGAAGACAGAGGGAGACACAGAATCCGAAGTGAGCTCCACGCTCTGAGCTGTCAGCACAGAGCCCAACACGGGGCTCGAACTCACAAACTGTGAAATCATGACCTGAGCTGAAGTCGGTTGCTTAACCAACTGAGCCACTCAGGCACCCCAAGATGCCACATATTTTTATACAGATATCCAATTGTTCAAACATCACTGTCAAAAGGATTATTCCTTCAACAAAGATTGCCTTTGCACCTAGGACAAAAATCTATTGTTCATAGATATATAAGTTAATTTCTGGACTCTCTGTTCTGTTCCATCAATCTGTTTCTTTATTTGCACATGAGTACCACACTGCCTTAATTATGGTAGCTTTATACCATATCTTGTCTTTATACTATATCTGTTAAGCCTCCCAACTTTATTCTTTTTTACAGTTATTTTAGTTATTTTAGGTCCTTTGCATTTCTATTTGAATTTTAGAATTCACCTGTCTGTTTCTCCAGGAAAAAAAAATGTCTGCTGGGATCTTGATTATGGTTGTGCTGAATCCATAAATCAACTTGAGAACTGATATCTTAACAATATTGAGTCTTCTTACCCATGAATGTAGTATATACGTCTTTTGTCAGATGTATCCCTGTTTCATGTTTTTATGCTGTTGTAAATAGTATTATTTTCTTAATTTTAATTTTCAATTGCTCATTACTAGTATATAGTAATATAATTGATTTTGTATCCTGTAACCTTGCTAATCTCCCTTAGTAGTTCTAGAAGTTTTTTGGTAAATTACATTAGATTTTTTACATAGTTAATTATATCTTCTGCTAATAAAAACAGTTTTACTTCTTCCTTTCCAAGTTAGATGCCTTTTATTTTTCTTTCTTGGCTGATTGCACTAGCTAGAACCTCCAGTATAAGGTTGAATAAAAGTAATGAGAGAGGACATTCTTGTCTTATTCCTAATCAAAAGTACGTAGGGTTTTTGTAGATGTCCTTAATCAGATTAAAAAGGCTCCCTCTATCCCTAATTTGCTGGTAGCTTTTTTTTTAATCAATAATGAATGTTGAATTTTTTCAAATGTTTTTTCTGTGTCTAAAGAGAGATCATACAATTTTTCTTTTTTAGTTTAATGTAGTGAATAACATTGATTGAGTTTTTAATGTTAAGCCAAGCTTACATTCCTGGGGCAACCCAAGCCCCCCCCCCCCCCCCCCCCCCCCCCAGCTCTTGGTCATGATATAGTTTCTTTTTTATATAGTGTTAGATTCTATTTTGTATTTTGTATTCTATTTGTATTTTGTGTTCATGGGCACAATATGTTCAACATAGATATTGGGCTGTAGTTTCCTTGTAAGGTATTTGTCCTATTTTGGTATCAGGGTAATTCTGCTATTATAGAATGAGTTGGAAAGTATTCTCTTCTCTTTAGTTTTCTGGAGAGTTTGCATAGAACTAGTATTCTTTCCTCCTTAAATATGTGATAGAATTCATCAATAAAACTGTCTGGGCCTGAAATTTTCTTTATGGGAAGAATTTTTTAACATACATAGATAGGGCTATTAAAGTTATCTATTGCTTCCTGCATGAGCTTTGGTAGTTTTGAGTCTAACATTAAATCTGTCCATTTCATTTAAGTTGTCAAATTTGTTGGTAGGAAGTGGTTCATAATATTCCTTTACTATCTTTTAAATATCTGTAAAACTAGTGATGTCACATCTTTCTTGTGTATTTTCTCTTTTTTCATGATCATTCTGACTAGAGGTTTATCAAATTTTTTTTAATCTTCTCAAAGAACTAGCTTTAGATTTCTCTGATTTTTTTTTCTATTGGTTTTGTTTTGTATTTCATTAGCTTCTCTGATCTTTGTTATTTCCTTTTGTCTGCCTACTTTACATGTAATTTTTATCTTGTTCTACTTTTTTGAAGTAGAAACTGAGGCCATTAACTTGAAATGTTTCTTCTTCTCCAATACAGGCATTTATTGCTATAAATTCCCTTTTGGTACTGTTTTAGCATATCCCACAGATTTTCACATGTTGTGTTTTCATTTTCATTCAATTCAAAATACTTTCTATTTCCCCTTTGATCTCTTTTTTGACCTGTGTGTTATTTAAAAGTATGTTATTTAGTTTCCAAATATTTGGGAATTTTCCAGATATCATTTTGTGGCTGATTTTTAATTTAATTCATTTGTGGTCAGAGAACATACTTTGTATGACTTCAGTCCTTTTAAATTTAGTGAGTCTTGTTTTATGGTCCAGATTGTGGTCTGTCTTACTAAATGTTCCCTTGTGCACTTAAAAAGAATACATATTCTGCTGTTGATGAGTGGGGTGTTTAATAAATACCTGTCAGGTCAAGTTGGTTGATTGTGTTGTCTTGATGAATCAAACGCTTTATCATTTTGAAATCGTCTTCTTTATCCCTACTAATATTCTTCGCTCTAAAATTTATTTCATTTGTTATTGATATAACCATTCCAGCTTCCTTTTGATTTGAGTTAGCATGTCATATATTTTTCTTTTTTAAATATTTTAACCTATTTGTTTCTATACTTAAAGTGGGTTTCTTGTAAGCTTCTAGGTCTTGCTTTTTTTTAAATCTAGTCTGTCTCTGCCTTTTAATTGGGGTGTTTAGACCATTTATAGGTAATGCAGTTATTAATCTGGCTAGACTTAAGTCTATCTTTGTTCCCCTTTTCTTTTCTTTTGCCTTCTTCTGGACTGATTTCATGTTTTTTTATTCTTATGTTTTATTTCCTTTGTTAGTCTTTTTTTAAAATTTTTTTAACATTTAATTATTTTTGAGAGACAGAGAGCAAGCAGAGGAAAGGCAAAGAGGTAGGAAGACACAGAATCTGAAGCAGGCTCAAGGCTCTGAGCTGTCAGCACAGAGCCCAATGCAGAGCTCAAACTCATGAACCACGAGATCATGACCTGGGTCAAAGTAGGACACTTAACTGACTGAGCCACCCAGGTGCCCCTCATTTGTTAGTCTTTTAGCTATAAATTTTTATTTATTTTAATGGTTGCTTAGGGTTTATAGTATATAATCTTAGATTATCACAGTCTACCTTCAGATGACGTTTTACCACTTTGTGTATAGTGTAAGATACTTCCAGTAGTATGCTACCATTTCTTTCCTCCCAGCCTCTATGTATTGTTCTCATGTATTTTATTTTCATGTGTGTTATCAACACCACACTACATTATTATTTTTGCTCAGGTGGTCAATTATCTTATAAAGAAACTTAAATAAGCAATAAGAAAATATTTTATATTTGTTCATGTCATTACCATTTTTAATCCATTTTATTCCTTTGTATAGATCCATATTTCCATCTGTTATTCTCTTTGTACCTGAAGGATTTACTTTAACATCTCTTATAGTGCAGGGATCCTGGAGATTAATTCCTTCTGCTTTCATGTATTACTGGGGCGCCTGGGTGGCTCAGTTGGTTAAGTGGCCAACTCTTGGTTTCAGCTTAGGTCATGGTCTCATGGTTTCATGAGTTCAAGCCCCACGTCAGGCTTGGGATTCTCCCTCTCTCTCTCTCTGCCCCTCTTCTGCTCATGCTGTCTCTGTCTCTCTCAAGATAAATAAACTTTAAAATTAAAATAAAATAAAAAATGAAAAAGTCTTTATTTTGCCTTTGCTTTTGAAGTATATTTTTGCTGGGTATAGAATTCTGGGTCAATGTTTTTCCCAATAGGTAAAAGATGCTGCTCCATTATTGTCTCACTAGCACTTGTTTCTGATGAGAAGTCTCTCTTATTTTTGTCCTTCTGTATGTGATGCGCCTTTTTCCTCAGGCTGCTTTTAAGACTTTCTTTTGGTCACTGGTTTTGAAAAAATTTGGTTATGATGTGCATTGTTGTCATGTCATTTCATTTTTTTTTTGTACTTGGAGTTTGTTGCTCGAGCTTCTTAAATCAGTGGGTTTATAGTTTTCCATCAAGTTTGGAAAAATTTCAGCCTCCTTTGGGGAGCCCCATAACCCATGTATAAGGTTACACTGAGACCCAGCAACTCTCAAGGCCATTAGTCAGGATAACCATAGGGCCCATTTTGCTTCTCATCTCTCAAGAATCATCATCCTGTGTTGTCTCATGTCCAGATTCTTGTTTTATATAGCTTCTCTTATTTTTTTGTTAGTTTTATGGGGAGGGTAAATCTAGATTTCATCTTATCACTGCATCGTGTCCAGAAGCAGATATCACTCCTGTTTGTATTTTAAAACTCTACTTGACCAGCCCGGTTAACATTTTTGTTATTATGAAGAATAGCTTGTGTTAAGTGCACACTGAATTGCAGTGTAAAACTGCATAAGTGGAAGCTGGTTTGAATTTAGAATTTTGCAGTGAATAATTGAGAATTGGGAGATGATGTAGTATTTGACTATAATTGATTATTATCTGTGTTGAGCAGGGTCTCAACCTTGACTGTATGTTTGAATCACCTGGGAGATTTTTAAATACTGATGACTCGGGGCGCCTGGGTGGCGCAGTCGGTTAAGTGTCTGGCTTCAGCCAGGTCACGATCTCGCGGTCTGTGAGTTCGAGCCCCGCGTCAGGCTCTGGGCTGATGGCTCAGAGCCTGGAGCCTGTTTCCGATTCTATGTCTCCCTCTCTCTGCCCCTCCCCTGTTCATGCTCTGTCTCTCTCTGTCCCAAAAATAAATAAACGTTGAAAAAAAAAATTAAAAAAAAATAAATAAATACTGATGACTCAGCCCCACCCCAGAAATTCTGGTTTAATTTGTCTAGAGTACGGCCTGGGCATCAGGAGTTTTGGAAGCCCCCAGGTGATTTAACATGGAGCCAAGGTAAAGAGCCCTGTGGAGGTGGGTAGCTCCTGCTCCTCTTCCAAGTATCAACAGTACAACCCACTTCTGTCTTTCCTCTCCCCTTCCAGCAAAGTCCAGGTTCTGTATGGGGGGACAGACCTCTTTGATTACGAGGTGCGCAGAACCTTCAACAATGACATGCTCCTGGCCTTCATCAGCAGCAGTTGTATCGCTGCCCTCGTCTACATTCTCACCTCCTGCTCAGGTAGGCCTCCTTGGAAGGTCCAGCAGGAGCCAGCCCCTTTCTCTCCTTCCTGTGTGCTTCTGTCCGGCCAAAGCCTGCCTTCTCCAGAATGCCAGAAATCATCTCAAATCCATTGTGTCAAAGGATTCTGGGGAAGGGTGCTCAGAAATCACCTTCCAACCCCAGGCAGGTGGACTGAGGTCCAGAGGCAGTTTGGGCCATACCTGAGGGCCCCTGCTCCCGGGACCTCACGTGGTTAACCTTTTGCCCTTTGACCATCGTTTTCTTGCTAAAAATTTGGTTTTGGGGAGTCTGGAGTACTGGACCCTTCTTTATGGATTATTCTGTAGCCTGTTTTACAGTCCCAGTGCAGCTGCCCTTCTGTCCCCAAGGTCACTTTAACAGCATCATCTTTCCATGTACCCTGACTGCTTCTCACTGCATATATAGTGGGTACTCTCTATTGCCCAGGTGAACAACAAATTTGTAATACCTTCACAAATGGAAAAGACACTCATTCGTCCATGTAACAAATATTAATTGGACACCAACTATGTGTCAGATGCTCTGAGATGCCAGGGATACAGTGGTGAACATCACAAACACATTTCCTACCCTCACGGAACCTCTAGTCTACTGGGGTGACAGATGTTGAACATATAATAATTCCCTACTAGCGATTGAGGTAGGTTCTGCAAAGATGAGGGCCTATGAACCACCTACTCAGATGGCTTCCTCTGCCACTCAGGCTCCTGCCTGGCCCCTTCTTTCTGGGCGTGAGAACTGTGCAGGGCACACCCAGGGTAGTGCAGGGCTACCACAGGACCCAGCTGTGTCCCTGAAGGGTGTGTGTCCTGCTGGATCCTCCCACTGTATCCCCTCTTGCCCTGCCCAGTGTTCCTGTCCTTTTTCGGGATCGCCAGCATCGGCCTCAGCTGCTTGGTGGCTCTCTTCCTGTACCATGTGGTCTTTGGAATCCAGTACCTGGGCATCCTCAACGGGGTGGCTGCTTTTGTGATAGTGGGCATTGGTGAGTTGCTTCTGTGGCATGGTGGGAAAGGTGGAAAGGAGGCCAAGATTTGGAAACAGGGGCCTCGTTCTGGAGACGGGGGCTGGGGAGGGCAGGGAGAATGGAGGGCAGGGCTTGGATTTCGAGTGGGTAGAGCCAAAGTTGGATGGGTCTTTCCAAACTCCAGACTGAGAAGCAGGACTCCCCTGAAGCCTGACCTCTTGGGGCAGACTCAGGATTGGGCTAGGCCCAGCTTGGGCCTGATTCTGGATATAGCAAAATGATCCTGAGCCTGCCCCTGCTGGCCTGGGACTCCCTCCCATAGGTGTGGACGATGTCTTTGTATTCATCAACACCTACCGCCAGGCTACCCACCTGGAAGACCCACAGCTGCGGATGATCCACACCATCCAGACGGCAGGAAAGGCCACCTTCTTCACCTCCCTGACCACGGCCGCTGCCTATGCAGCTAATGTCTTCTCCCAGGTGCGAGACTGCCTTTGTCCCTGGCCCCGTCTCTTCCTTCCCCCCATCATGAGCCCTGGACTCTGCTCCTCCCACATGCCCCACATAGCTTTTGCCTCAAGGCACTTGCCATGTCCCTAGACACCATTCTGGCTACTAGTCACCATTACCAGAACTTAACAAATGGTAGTCATCCAACCTCTGCCCTGAAGGGTATGTGGCAATTTCCAAAGCTCTTCCACATTTAGTTTTCAAGACATAGGACGAAGGTACAATTACATCCTTATTTTCCAAATACAGAAACTGAGGCCCAGAGAGGTAGAGCAACTTCCCCAAGGTCACACAACTGGTAAGTGGTGGCCTATCAAGTCCCCTGACCCTCCATCCAGAGCTCTTTCCAACCACCGGCTTCACACTGTGTTGTCGTCACCCCTCTCGCTGACGTCCCTCTCCCCTGGCCCCATGCTCCTTCAGGCCTCTGAGTTGGGCTCAGGAGAAGGGTCTGTGTTGGGGCCAGGGCCTTGGTGCTGACAGAACCTGAAAGGCAGTGAGCCCACCTGAGCCTTCAAAACATTTAATGACCTGGGCCGGGTGTCCCATCGAGAAACCACTAGATGCTTTGGGATTATCCAGGCCGTGCTAGAGAACTGCATCCAGAACACAGGCAGAGCTGGGCTCTAGTTCCACCTTTGTGATGGGCCACGTGACCTCCAGACCTCTCTGAGCCTCACTTCCCTCCTGTGTAGCTTATTCAGAGACTAAAAGGAGATGATTGTCCCAAGTTTTTCACAAACAGTGAAGGCTTGTCTGCTGTTGGTTACAGTTTCCTTCTGAGCGCCACATCCCTGTGAGGGTCCCTGGGACACTCTGGAGCACACCCGTTGTTCCTCGGCCCCAGGAGCATATGTGAACATTCTCTTCCTTACCCTCATTAACACACGGCCTGGTGTCTAACGTGCTGTCTTCCTCTGATTGTCAGTCACTCCTGGAATGACTGCTATCGAGCACTTGCTCCGAGTCAGGCACCGCTGTGGCCAGTGGGCTGCAGCATGGACACCAGCCTCCGACCCAGAGCTGGGTCCCCTGACACCAGCCCTTGCCTTTTGACGTCCTCCTAGTTCCCGTGGCTGGCAGCCTGGCAGCCTGAGCCTCCTCATCCCGTCTCGTTCTGGAGGTGGTCCGGCTGCAGGGTCTCAGACTCCCTGGGCTCCAGGCCTGACCAGCCTCACATCCCACCCTTACCTCTCCATTGCCAGATCCCGGCCGTCCATGACTTTGGCCTGTTCATGTCTCTCATCGTGTCCTGCTGCTGGCTGGCTGTGCTGTTCACCATGCCTGCTGCCCTGGGCATCTGGAGCCTTTACATGGCACCGCTGGAGAGTGCCTGCCAGACCAGGTGAGCAGGTGGGCAG